TCTTTCTTTCTTTCTTTCTTTCTTTCTTTCTTTCTTTCTTTCTTTCTTTCTTTCTTTCTTTCTTTCTTACTTCCTTCCTTCCTTCCTCTTTCTTTCTTTCTTTCTTACTTCCTTCGTCTTTCTTTCTTTCTTTCTTTCTTTCTTTCTTTCTTTCTTTCTTTCTTTCTTTCTTTCTTACTTCCTTCCTCTTTCTTTCTTTCTTTCTTTCTTTCTTTCTTTCTTTCTTTCTTTCTTTCTTTCTTTCTTTCTTTCTTTCTTTCTTTCTTTCTTCCTTCCTTCCGTTCTGCTCCAACACTTTCATCTTTAGCAAAGTTTTATGTCATTGTGCTTTCTTGAGGTAAAATCCTTACTTCTACCACACTCAGAGTCTGACGCACACCCTTGATTTTCCTGCCCTTTTTTGCTGATCTATCCTTCTTTCCTGACCTTCATTACTGCTGACCTGAACAGATTTTAAATCTCGTAAACCTCTCTGTTGAGTTGCATAACTTCTTTGGAAAGGCCTGATTTTCCTGTTGCATTACTGGTTTGAGCTTACTTTGCAAAATCAGTTCTTGAAGTTCTTCCTGAAGGATTTTGCTTTAGTTATTCTCCAGCTCCTCCTGTGTTTGCTTGGTTTGGATTTAGAGGACATTGAACCATTTCTTATGCAGCATGTTAGCCTCTTTCTTGAGGGTCTCTTTCTCGTTCTTTCTATTTTTTTTAAATCTGCAGTGCATTTTATAGACAATTTAAAATAAACTTTTTATTATCCAATCCTGGATAGTAGTTCTGGCTAAAGTTTTGTAATTATTTCAGTCTTCTTCTTGTTTTTGTTTGTAACATCTGACATCTATTGTAGACATTAACTGTAACAAATGACATTAAATCAACCTGTTCAGAGGGTATAAAACAATCATTTCTGCAGCAAAACTCCCAACAAAGCAGATCTTTACATTCATAATGTTGGTCTTCTGCTCTTTGACTTAAAGGACTGATTCGTTTGCAAGAGTTGATCAAAGCTCCGTCCAGATACAGCATTAAAATCAAGATCCGACAGCTTCCTTCAGGAAGCAAAGATGCCCGGCCGCTGCTGAAGGAGATGAAGAAAGGGAAGGAGTTCTTTGTCATCTTTGACTGCTCGTACCAAACGTCAGCAGATGTTCTAAAGCAGGTCAGACATTTTAGTAAAGTTGGATTAATTACAATTGGAATTTATTACTGGAGAAGACTCTCAGGTTATCCTTTGTTGCTGTTGTTGCCTGTAATGCATGCTTCTTGTTTAACATTGGGTGCGAGTGAGATTATTTCAGAAATCCTGCTTTCGTTTTCAAATCCAAGCAGAGCCTTTTCTGAGCCAGACGTACACGTTCAGGACCGAATGTTGAGCAGGAGATTAACTGGAGACACTACGCTAACATGAGCAAATTGTGACATACTCATTGGACTCTCAACGGGAAAAACATGCAAACAATGCAAAATGAGCCGAATCATAAAATGCATGTATTGCTAAATTTGCTTTTAAATCTGGTTGTATTTATTTCATAGTGACAGATATATTTTTTGCTATAATTTAAGGGGAACTTCTAAAATCTTTGCTTCATTTTATTCAGATTCTGTCCATGGGGATGATGACAGAGTATTATCACTACTTCTTCACCACACTGGTAAGAAAAACACCTTTATTTTCAAACCCAAAGAAAACCTTTATTAAATATAATATACATGAAAATCTTTGACATGATGTTGCCCTTTATATATCAGAAAAGTTATGGATGACTATAGGCTAATAATTTGCCAGTAGAAGACTATCTCCAACATAATTAGGTGCATTAATCTGATCCAGGTTTAGACGTCTGTGTTCACCTGAGGATTCTTCCAGGAAAGGCTTATGTAAATGAACTGTAACATCTGCGGTTTGTTTTATAAGCAGATGTTTTCAGTGCCGTTGGCAGAGCTCCACGGTATTACATCTATTGTGTTCCACAGTTCATTCAGGCGCCTCTCTGTTCCTGCTGCGCACGTAATCTTTTTAAGCAGACGTGCACTAATTCTTCCCCCCGATCTGTGCAGGACCTGTTCGCCCTCGACCTGGAGCCGTACCGCTACAGCGGGGTCAACATGACGGGGTTTCGGCTGCTCAACGTGGACAATCCTAAAGTGGCTTCGGTGTTGGAGAGGTGGGCCATGGAGCGACTGCAGGCTCCCACCAAAGTGGAGACTGGGATGACGGAGGGAATGATGACAGTGAGTTTAAAGTTACTGTTTGAAGCTCTGCTTGTGCTTCAGTTTATTGTAGAATCCAGATGTTAGTGGTGGCTCCTGTGAACCTTCCCCCTCTGGCGCTGCATGTAAAGCAGGCAGTTTGTAACTCAGGTTTTAAAATGAAGTGAGTTTAAATCAGATTCCTAAATTGGAGCGGTATTCGAGGCCGATTTTTATCATCTCAGGCAGCTGGCAAAGGGAAAACCATTTGTTACGAAACAACACGTTGAAACTATAATTCCTGCCTTTGTCACATCTCAGCTTGATTACTGTGATGCTCAGAGTCAGCCAGTCCTCCGTCAGCCCCACTCTGACTCCCCTCCACTGGCTACCTGTTCATTTTAGAGTTCATTTTAAGATTATTTTATTAGTAGTATCTTATCATAAAATTACTTTGGTAAAAGTTAAAGTCTCCTCTAAAAGTCTTAAAGTATCTGATTTATTTTGTACTTAAGTATTAAAAAGTAAATTTCTGACATAAAATGTACTTAATTATTAAAAGTAAAAGTACTGAATAAAAATGAGAGGTTAGATTTTCCAAAAACATTTTTTAAAGGTGTTCAGCTGTGATGGATTGTGTACAAACTAATATGTGTCAGAATGGTATATATTTATATGTCTCAACCAACCACAATTAAATTCAAAGGCACAGTTTATTGGGATTGAATTTTTTTTAACAATAATGAACCTGAATGAAATAGGAGTAATGACTTTCTACTTCTTACATTTTTTTTTAAAAAATGTAGGGAGTAGAAAGTACAGATAATTGTGTAAAAATGTAAGGAGTAGAAGTAAAAAGTTGGCTGAAAAAATTTTACTCAAGTTAAGTACAGATTGCCAAAGTTTCCACTTAAGTACTGTAACAAAGTATTTGTACTTAGTTACTTTACAACTCTGCACTGCCTGGCCAATCTTCTCCACTCCTGTAGTCGTGGAGAAGATGTGAAGGGTCAAATCATTGGCATCAAGCTGAGGAAACATTTAAGAAGATTGCAGAAACCACTAAGGACTGTGTGACACATTATTAAAAACTGGAAGGATAGTGGGGACCCTTCGTCTTCGAGGATGCACCCATGATAGTGCCCACTGTACAAGCCTGTGGGGGCGGGGCTATGATGTGGGGTTGCTGCGGTCGCTCAGGTCTAGGAAGCTTGTCCAAACAAAAATATTAGAGGGTGTGACCTTTTCTTTAGTGATGACTTTTTAAGAGTTTAAATGGTTTGTTTCAAATGAAAAAAATGAACTGCCTGAATGTGCACGAAACCCCATCCTCCCTCTCTGAGCTGATTCATCCATCGGTGCCTTTAGCTGCTCCTGAAGGTGCCGAGATCCGACCGTAAGCTGAGAGAAGACATGTTTTTGTGTTGCTCCTCCAAGATTATGGAACAATCTACCACGTCCTGTTAGACAACTTTCAAAACTCTAAAAAAACATTTCTATTCTCTGGATTTTGCCACAGCCTGAGACTTGATTTAATTAGTTTTTCTCATATTTTATTGCTTTCATTTTTAAAATTATTTTCTTTATCCTCTTATTTTACATGTAGGTCACTTTGTTGCAGCTGTGGTTGTTTCACAAATAATAGTAGAAAATATTTGCTTGTTAAAGAAGTATGGACCTAATATTTTCAACAACGTACAACTTTTTGGAAAGATAATACAGGAGTTTATTATTGCCGTGACTTGTTCAAAAACTCACTTATGAAAAAATATTAACTCGTGTTGCACTGCAGCATGTAACAGAACAAGGATTCATTTTTACTTTTTTAAATTTATTTTGTTGCATTGAGACATCAGTTTTAAATTTACAAGTGATTTGAAATCTGTTTTTATATTAAATTAAGCTTAAAAAAGAACAAAAAATCAATATTTTTTAATTTTTATTTTTATTTTTGAGTGGTTGGGGCTCATTGGCAAGCTGGCTGGAAGTCACTGGCCCGTGGACCAGCAGTTGAATTGCTTTAATGTATATTTAGATGTTTCTCAAGGCTGTAAAAGGACTTCTGTACAGTTTTATTTAGATTTCATTTCAGGATGTCACTATCCACCGTGGGTGCTGTGTGTACAGTCTGAAAACGACACACCAAACTGCAGTGAGTGATTGTGCTTGCCCGTGTGATTGCAGCTGATATGTGGTGCTGTGCACATACATCAGTGGGCGTGGTGCGATAAGTGATCCTGGAGATGGATGGTGACGGGGCCGTGTTTCTCTTTCAGACGGAATCGGCTCTGATGTACGACGCTGTTTACATGGTGGCCGCGGCCTCGCAGCGCACCTCCCAAATCACCGTCAGCTCCCTCCAGTGCCACCGGCACAAACCGTGGCGCTTCGGGTCCCGCTTCATGAACCTGCTCAAAGATGTGAGTTCATTCGTTCACCTGTTCTTCCTTTCTGTTCCATCAGAACAAATAGCAGCGTGGCTCTGCTGTTTTAAGTAACACCAAACTACAGAAGGCATTATGTTGCATACTTTTCACTCTGCTGGAAAAAGAAGCAAAATTTTCCTGCCTGAATTATTGATCTAACAACAGACGACACAAACCAACGAGACAAACATAATCATCAAACACACGGTTTGAAAACATCCTGTTTGTCTTGTACAAATCACGATGGTTTATTTGTGGGAGCGTCTTCTTGTCTCTGCTGAGATGTGTTAATTAGAATTTAATAGGCCCTCATGTTATGTTGCATTCTCTAATTAGACGTTTCTTTCATCTTCAACCGGGGACTGAATATTGACAGACTCAAACAAACCAAAATCTCAGAGAGCAGCGTCTGAATAAATGAGCTTTTTAAGTGTCTGTGAGTTACGATCACCGTTTTTGCTCGAGCTCATGGAGGTTTGAAAACATAATTTATCTTATCCAGGGAAGATCAGGAGTGAACTGTTCTGCATTCTGCCTATTAAATGCAGTTTCATTGCGGTGCATTCATTTAAAAGGGTCATATTTTCCTTTTTGTCTAAAATAAATATTTGATCCAGCCAATATTAAATTTTTTTTAATCGTGTAATTCTTTAATCTCAGCCCTCAACACCATCCTTTCAGTAGGACCATAAAAGACAATCAGGCAGAGAACTGAAGGAAGTTAGCTGAAATAAACAAAGTCCTGTGTTAGACTGGCTGTGGCGGCCATCTTGATTTGAATTGACTCCAAAAGTTAAGAGTTTTAGATGTACAACTAGTAATTAACTTTTAACTACCACAATCCCACTCATCATTCCCCAACACATCCTACAGAACTGGACTGATTTGGGTGTGATATGATAAGATGTGGCCTGAGACAAAACCTGAATCCACCAATGTAGCTCAGCCTCAGAGGGAAGTAGCTAATGCAGGAAGTAATGCAGTCCACATGAAAAGTAATACATCTAATGTGACAAGATAGTTGTTTGCACACACGTTTTAAGACCTGACAAACCACCGATCAGTATTTAACAGGAACTCTTCAAGTCCAGATTTTATTTATTTTCTTAAGCCAATCTGGATTTTGTAGTCAGAGAAGCTCCATGTCAGCCCTACATACACAGTAAAGATGCTAACACATGGTCGGGACAGAGACCCTTTTGATTGGTGAGGATTTAAAACAAGATTTAATGGCAGGAATAAATCTGGACTTAGGGGTCGAGTACATGTGACAGCTGTGAGCAATAAGACTGAGAAGCTGACTAATCACAGAGCAGCTGCACTGAAAAAAATCCTGGGACTTCCCGCAGGTGTCAAAGGTCGTTCTCGTCATGTGATCAGGTTTAGAGTGTTGGAGGCTTTGAAACGGGAAACTGTGCTTCGTCAATATTCTTTAGATTTAATATACCGTAGATTCAATTTATTCTCAATTTTGTTGTGGTTGTGGTTCTAACGCTCAAAATATTTTTCAGAAGATGAAAGTTCGTCATTTTTACTCGGCCTGAATGAGTTCAGTGTGTATTTTATTTTCAGTATTAAGTTATCACATGATGACAAGACCATTAAAAAATTCAATCCAATTAAAAAAACAAACAAACAAAACTTTGGAACATTGAGTAAAAATAAACGCAAGTAAAAAAATATGATTTTCACATTTCATATTTCCTTTACAATGCAAAATATCAAATATCGAAATTAAGAAATTGTACCATAAATTGTTCAATAAAGTTATTTTCTTGTTCACTGTAAAAAAAATCAGTTAATGAGATATGCAAATCATTTAATTCTGTTTTTTCTTTACATTTCGTATAGCCTGGCCCTACACACATCCACTCAGTTCTAGTTTCCCTTCTTTGCTCAGTCTGGGATTTCTCCCATAAACAAGGATTTCTCTGGTAGAATTTTAACCGGGCCAATCGGTGAACAGAAGGAGGAGTTGTGAACGACGATCCCAAAAACCCCAAAGTTTCTATGATTTTCTTTCTTTGGATTAACTTTTTCTTTTACATCCCTTGATTTGTATCCCTCAGATGAACTTGTAAAACTCAAAAATGCATATCAAGGCGTCCCTACGTGCTCGTGAGAAAGAACCAAATGACACTGTTTCACATTTGGTATATTTAGCCTCTTATCTTTCAAAAGACCATTATTTCATGCAGGAGAAAGTGTGAAACACTTACATTTACAAATTTACAATCCAGAATTCTATCATCTATCATTCATGATAAAAACTGACTACTGAGCGTTTTTGACACGAGTGAAATGTGTTTTATTTCTGAGCCTACACAGATTGAGCCTACCTGTTATTCTACTGAGCTCACTTTGTTATCAACTGATTTAAAATTTCTCTGAGCAATGTTCCCTCTTGCTGCTCTCCATTTAAGCAGTCAGAGGCCATATCTGCCGGCTCCGTTTACGTCATCGTCCCAATGACCTAGATTGTAGATGCAGACATTTAGTATTTCCATTGAGGGTCTAGCCAATGCAAAAACATCTATTAAAATTCAGTCTTTGTTAGCGTTCTGTGCTTAATGAAGAACTCATCCATTATTCATTTAGGACCTGTTTTCGTTCACTTTTCTGGGCCTTTCCTTGATTCTGCAGTGATTTCTGTGACAAAAATGAAACCTGAGCGATTCATGACTCGTGTTTTCTGTCCTCTCTTGGTCACAGACACAATGGGACGGTTTGACAGGACAAATAATTATAAACAAGACGGATGGTCTGCGGAAAGAATTTGATTTAGATGTCATCAGTCTGAAGGAGGACGGCTTGGAGAAGGTGAACTCTCTGACCTGTGTGCACTGTGCAGCTCTGCATGAATGTCGATTCTTCACAGCTTTTTCTGACAGAGTAGAATGTTTTTACACTAACAAGGCATCTGCTATTTATTCTACCTTTTTTTTAGAATAGTTGTAGAAAAACTGTAAATATACAATATAATTTGCTGAAACATACAAAAATCCTAATAACAGATGTCTAAATTACACCAGAAATGTCACGAAGTGTTTTGACACAACCCTACAAATAGCAACAGTTGTCCTTTTAAGCTTGTACTTTTTGAATGCTCCTTTAATCACACTGACACCACCGCTCTGCATTCTGGCAGGTCATTAGGGAGCCTGTTACCCGTTCAGTCTTTGATCACTGCAAAGAAAATGCAGCCAAATGAATTCAGTAGAAAGTAAAAGCTGAAATTAAATTGAATCAAATGTGTTACCTGAGGAGCTTTTTTTTCCTTATATAGATAAACTTAAAAGTCAGAATTAGTCAGTGTTTTTGTACTTGTTTTTAAGCTTGTGGTTCAGTAAGTAAATTGCTTTCTCCTTACTGTTTTTGCAAGTCAATGACGGGCAACCGCTTGAATAAAGTGTGGAAAAAGGTCTGTATTTAAACTGCCTGGGCAGATGAATAGATGTTTAATCTTCAGTAATTTACCTATTTGTGATGTCTATCCTTTGTATAAAGAAAAGATTCACAGGTGGAAAGAAATGCTTGATGTTTCAGCGCTGGCCGTGTTATTTCAAGTTTTTCTAAGACGTGCTTTGTTTCCTTCCCTCCTTTTCCTTTCATGACTCTCTCATCCTTGTTTATTATTCTAATGTAATTCTTCTGCCACCTGTTTCTTTTCCCTTTGTATTACTGTCCTTGATTGTACGTGAGTCTCTTGGGCAATTGCTGTTTTGTCTTAACAGTGTGGTTATTTGAATATTTCAATCTTTACAGATTGGTATCTGGAACTCCCAGATGGGCCTTAATTTAACAGAAACCACCAAGGACTCTTCCACAAATATTACCGACTCAATGGCCAACAGAACCCTTATTGTCACTACTATTCTGGTATGAACAAAAAAAATGGGTTTTTTTTTTGTTTTGTTTTGTTTTTTTTATCAGCAAGCATTTGGCCAGGCATGTTTCAGCCTTCACACACTAAACCAATTTATTATTGTGTTTTATTCCAGGAAAATCCTTATGTCATGTATAAAAAATCCGATAAGCCACTATATGGGAATGACCGCTTTGAGGGTTACTGCCTAGACCTGCTCAAAGAGCTCTCCAATATTTTGGGCTTCTCCTATGAAGTAAAGCTGGTGTCAGATGGCAAATATGGCGCTCAGAATGACAAGGGGGAGTGGAACGGCATGGTTCGGGAACTCATAGATCATGTAAGTACTGATCAGTTTATGGTTAGAGAAGATGAAGGAAAATGGTCGACGTCGTTGCTGAGATTATGCTCTGTAACCAGGTGGCTGACCTCGCTGTGGCCCCTCTCACCATCACATATGTCAGAGAAAAGGTGATCGATTTTTCCAAGCCCTTCATGACGCTAGGAATCAGCATCCTGTACCACAAACCTAACGGCACCAATCCAGGAGTGTTCTCCTTTCTGAACCCGCTCTCTCCTGATATCTGGATGTATGTGTTGCTGGCATGCCTTGGTGTCAGCTGTGTGCTGTTTGTCATTGCCAGGTAAACTTTATAAAAATGAAATGAAGTTCATTTAGCTTGCAAGTAGGGCTGCAATGATAAGTCGACTAGTCAAGGACTAATCGACTATTAAAATAGTCATCGACTAATTTAATAGTCGATTAGTCGTCTTTTTTTTAACTTTGTTTTTCTCTCAACTGCTTTGACACCTTCCACTGCCACATCTGCCTTTCTGTCCTTGACACACATGCACAGTAGTGGTAACCAGGGTAGGCCGTGGACGTCACAATACATTATACAGAGAGGCTCTGGTATCATGGCTACCTGGCTACGGAGCTCAAAAGTTTGGGATCGTTTTAAGAAAATGAAAGAGAAACCTGTGCAATATCTGCAGAGCAGAACTTACCTTCCACTGCAGTTATTTCTAGTTAGCATATAGCTAAAATCTAACCATGGTTATATAATAGCAGCTGCATTCTGGCGCGATAAGCTGTAWGTTTTATATTCAATTAACGTATGATCCGATTAGACAAATCGAAACAAATAATCGGTGATTAATCGACTATAAAAATAATCGTTTGTGGCAGCCCTACTTGTAAGGGTTCCATATTTCAGAGTAACCCTAACCCTAGAGTTGGCCATCTAGCAGCGAGACTGTTTTTTTAGATTATACATTTATAAATGTTACAGTAAAAACGGGCATGCACCAATGAGGATGCAGCAAGGCAGACAAGATTAGTAAAACTGGAAAAAGAGGATTTATATGTCAGGAGTTTTAGTTTTAACTGTTGATATTGTTGTCACTCGTTTTTGCGGTTTAATTTCATTACTTTCAGGTTTACTCCATATGAGTGGTACAACCCTCACCCCTGTAATCCAGACTCAGATGTGGTTGAAAACAACTTCACTCTAATTAACAGTGTCTGGTTTGGAGTTGGAGCCCTTATGCAGCAAGGTATGCTTATAGTTGAAATTAATATATTATAATTCATGTAAAAAGTCCATGATTCATTATTCATATTATTGAGAATTAGTAATTAACTCATCTTGATACCCAACAGGCTCTGAACTCATGCCTAAGGCTCTTTCAACAAGGATAGTTGGAGGAATATGGTGGTTTTTTACACTAATTATTATCTCCTCATACACTGCCAATTTGGCTGCCTTCCTCACTGTGGAGAGAATGGACTCACCGATTGATTCTGCAGACGACTTGGCCAAACAAACAAAAATTGAATATGGGGCTGTAAGAGATGGCTCCACCATGACATTTTTTAAGGTAATCTGTTTGTTTTGCAAAAAATAAGAATATGATTCTTAGAGAGGATGCAAATATGACCATTACTTAGTCCGCTACCATAAAATAAGCAGGTCAAACAGGAAACACTGTCAGTTTACAAACACGTGTCATTCATGTATCAAAAGTATTTAGTTGAATATATGTTTTTTGTGTTGATCATGGTTTTAATTTTTCACAAAGTTTGATTCTGATTCCGCAGAAATCTAAGATCTCAACATATGAGAAAATGTGGGCGTTTATGAGCAGCAGGAAAAACACGGCTTTGGTGAAAAACAACCGAGAGGGGATTCAGAGGGTCCTCACCACAGATTACGCTCTTCTGATGGAGTCCACCAGCATCGAGTACATCAGCCAGCGCAACTGCAACCTCACACAGATTGGAGGCTTGATAGATTCCAAGGGCTACGGTGTGGGAACCCCAATTGGTAAGGCAAATGAAACTGATAACTAATAAATGCTCATTATTTGCCATAGAATCACGATCCAAGCATGATTTCTGCATTATGCCCTAGGCTCCCCATACAGGGACAAGGTCACCATTGCTATCTTGCAACTTCAGGAAGAAGGGAAGCTGCACATGATGAAGGAGAAATGGTGGCGGGGGAACGGCTGTCCAGAAGAGGACAGCAAGGAGGCCAGTGCTTTGGGTGTGGAGAACATCGGGGGAATCTTTATTGTGTTGGCAGCCGGACTCGTCCTCTCAGTTTTTGTCGCAATTGGAGAGTTTATTTACAAATCCAGGAAAAACTTGGACATTGAGGAGGTGAGTGTTGGCCAGTGCGAGTGGCACAACAAGTATTAATAAATGGGGGACTTTTTCAAAGACTTTATTGCACCTACTACACATTTGTGTTGTCGTCGTCTTTACAGGACTACACTAATCAGAGGGCCAGTAAGCATTTGAAATCTGATTAAACTTAGATCTTTAAAACTGCATTGTTACAATCAAAATGGAAGTTTTTAAAATATATATATTTTTAGTAGTAGATTCTATGTATGTCTTGATTGGAAGATTACATTAGAATTCTTTTATTTCTGATGACAAATGATTGCAGTTGTGATACTTGACCATTTTGGCCTTGCTGTTTTCTGTTTGTTTGTTTTTTCAAAAAAGGCATTATAACGTGTTGCATGGGTGACGTTTTATTGTTCTGCCATTATACTGTGGGTAAATAATGGTAAGTTGTATCATTTGTAGACATGTTTGCCATATTAACTTCAATAACTGCTGTGGGTTCGACAGGTTTTCCGTTTCAGAGTAACACCGCACAAAGACTTTGACAAATTCATTGCCATTTATTTCTAAATTGTTTATGATTGAGTGTTCCCTCAAGAATTTATTTATGAAATGGGTTGTTTTTTTTTTGTCCAACATGAAGTTTATGAATGTGCTTGTATAAGTTTTGTTGAAATTGTTACTGAATGACTAAAAATATGTGAGAATACAACATTAAACCTTTGAATTTTGTTTGTTTTAATGTTGATCCTTTTTTTTTTTTTTAGGAAAAATGCACATTTATGCATGAAATAGATCAAAGGCAGTTTTTGCTTCTTTGTTCAATGCCAAAAAAATTGTGTTCTTGGCGTTATATTTTCACGGTTATATTTTGTCATGTATTTGCTTCATGCTTTGCTTTTTACTTTAAACTAACAACTCATTCTGCCCTTGCTAAAGAAGCTTTTTGCATTTTGACTCACCTTTGTCTTTATTTTTCATCCGACTAGTAGTCACCTCATGCAGACTTAGCCTTTTACATAACATCCTCAGAAGGTAGTGGATTATAAACAGACATTGCACAAAGCTGATGTAAAACATTAGCAGCCGTGACAGACAGATTAGAAAATCCTGCAAATACAGTGAGATTGCGCTAATCTGACGGCTAAAACTGAGCTTTGCTGGTTTTGTGTCCCTATTATAGAATTTGTCACATTAAGGATTGAAATGCAGCACAACCCACATCTAAACACACAGACTGTAATAGATATACTGTATCTGGATATGGGATATGTTTACTCACCTGCTTTTAGTTTTAATATTGATAAATGCATGTGTAGACTAATTTATCAAAAGTTTGATGGGATTGTTTTGTAAATTGATGAGTTAGATCAAGAAGTCAGAGGCTTATTTATTAATTTTTTGAGTTGCATGGATCATTTCCTTTTAAAGCAAAATTAAAACAATTTGATTTCAGATTGTAAAGTTTCCTCCTCTGATGTAAGTACGACTACAGTATTTTATCCAGACACTTTCACTTGTTCAACTAGTGTCCCAATGTAACACGAGGAGAATTGAAGCCAAAATGACAAATGTGAGTGTAATTTGTTTTCTGGTCAATCAACTGTTAATCTGACTGGTACAGATCAGGGTTCTAGTTTACTGGGGTCACCATGTCCCCTGCTTTCTCTCACTTCTCGAAGATTACCGTATTATGGTCCTCACTTATATAATCCTGTCAATAGGACACAGCTCCCTTCTCAGCACTAACCTGAACCTGAAGTTCATCACTTGGTTTGTAATCAGTTAGGATGCAGTGGTTCAGCAGACAAGGAGGTCATAGAACATTTTCTGGAATTTATTAAAAGCGTTGGGTCATTCTCTAGGATTCTGAGCCAAGTTAGAGAAACATTCATATTATACTTGTGTCCTATTACCTCTTTAATTCTTTATTATTGGGTTTAGAACAGAAATCAGTATCACATTTAATATTTACAGTATATTGTGAATAAATTTATTTAAAAGCTAATTTTATCAGGCTGTAATCTGCAGATCACATCAGACAGGTTTTTTTTCAAACATTAGGTTAAATTGGACATGGCATCCATAGAGCTCTTAAAAATACCCTGTAGTTACTTTAACAAGACATGGCAGATAGCACTTCTATCTGCACAGTTTAAACAGCTATCTGTCATCACGATGAAATATGATATTATCAATTATGTCTAAGATTTAGATTTTCTTTTCTTCTTTTCCATTTTTTTCTACCTACTTTGCTTCCAAAGTAAAGTGGAATCTCCTCTTTGTGAGGATTAGGAAAAATGCTTTTTATTTTAATTAAAAATCTACAAAACATAAAAACGTCATGAAGACTAAATCAATAATAAGTATGACAAAAATATTTGAACTCAAGCAACTATTTTGTCCATTTCCACTAAGTAAACAAAGATTAATTGGAATCACTTTTGTGAATGAGCAAGTAAGAAGGACAGGTGGAATAAAACAATGCTGTAAAAGTAAAAGATCGTCCAGATTTTGGGGCTAAAGGGACATTTATAGGCTTTGACACACAAGACTCATCAAGACAGATACAGCGGGCTTTGCATTAATCTCACATCATGACTGTTTAAGGTTTTGCTATTCTGATGAATTCCAGGATTGGGCCTTAACTGCTTTCATTTTGTTTGCTGGTCTTTAATCTTCTAACCCTGCATTCTTAATCAAAACTCAGAGCAGGTTTTTAATCTTGCATGAACGAGGCCGCGGATTATGGGCCTCTGACCTTGCCATAGCGCACAGCTGTTTCCGCCTCAAATCAAGTCTCTCGTCCCGTTTAGCTTGAAAAACAGGATAATCTTACTATTGCACTACAATGCTCCAAGACCTAAACTGTGTATAGGAGACGCCAAGGTGGGAAAACATCTTAGGTTTTGAGTGTACATTCATAAATACATGTAGAGCTCTATAAAACTTTACTAATTGAAAACTGTTTTCACTGATGTGTGTCAAAGTGGCACAAGAGGACCACATTTTGTGGTACTGTTATTATGTAATCCTTCTGAGTTCATACAGTTTGTCTCAGCTTTGCTTCAGATCTGTACGTGTATCCACTTTTCAGAGACAGAATTTTAACCTTTTCTTTTTCTGAATAAACACAATTTTAAAGGATAAAAAATAATAAATTATATCAAGGACAAAAGTGTTTTGACAAAACTACAAAAAAAAAAACACAACTTTCTTTTGGCAGCTCAAGAATGGATACCCACATTAAGGGTTGAAAACTAAGTGCAAGTTAAATACATTTCTAGCACTTTGTTTTAAATAAAGGATCTTTGATCAGGAGGTGAAGATTTGACGAGGTTCTGGTATTTTTTGATTTTACATTACAATCTTTTTGTTAAAAAATATACACATATAAAACAGAAAATAAAATGGTATGGAATGCTGAATGAAAAATGAAAAACAATGAAATAGGAATAAGCATTTTTCATGTCTTTGGGGCTGTCTCAACCATGATTTGATGTTTTCATATGTAACACCTAAAAAATGCTTTGAGATATTACTGTCATTATTAATGATCCCTAATTATTAGGAATAAATCAAAATGTATTTGATGATGAAAAGAAGTGTGAATTGCGACACAAAAAAACACACTTCGGGTTAAAATTTTGAAATGTTAAAATATCTTACAACATTTTTAATTCAAAATTTTTTTTAGCATTTTAAATGACAAAATTTTACCCAGTCAAACATTATTTTTTTTTGTGAAAGAACAGTATTTTGCAAAAATGCTTTTTGGCCATGATTCAGCAGATTGGACACTGATGAATCAACGTTTGATCTGACGAACAGAAAAGACAAAATTAACTTTTTCTTATTTCCTCTTGGGTTGTTACACCTGAAATATGCTCCACGTATAAAGTTTGGCTTGACGGTCTCTGCTATCTTTGGTCTTTGTATTAGAAATCAGGTTCATTTAAAATTGCCTTTAAATTCACTCTAATGCACAGCCTATGTTCATGGTTCTTTGTTGTTTTTTCAATTGGCTGTTGTGTCTTCTCAACATGGCTGATAAAAGCAAGTTTAACATATGCATTTCTACTTGTTTTCTCTTTTAGATTTTTTTTAAACTATGATAAAAGAAAAATTTTTTGCAGCGCAAGTGCATACTTCAGCAGAGGTAGAGCTGTACTTCCATCTACTGGCCAAAATCTGAAAATATAACGTTGACAAATTCCCAGCATTTGTGAGTTAACATTAAAAAAAACTTAGTTGTAATAAAATTTTTATTTAAGTCAGTAATTATAAAATCATTTTATAAAAAAAAAAAAAAAAGCTTGAACATGCAGACAGACCTAAATGTAAGAAATTACTTCAACATTAGCTCTGGGTTAATGTGCAACAGTGCTTGAGACGCAGATAAAACAAACATTAACTGTCGTTTTGAACTGATCATACACTAAAACATAAGGCACATTTATACAACTTATGTGACATTTTAACACTCTCTGGAACCATTTTTCAAATTATACGGGAAGCTGACAGTGAACCATTTAAACTATAGCATGCATTCAATTAATGTTTTTGAAAAGTTACATAATCTGCAAAAACATTACTGAAAAGTTAATTTGAAATAAACAGCAATGCAGTTCAAATGATAGTTTCAGTAAGATTGCCAATACATTTATTAGTGAAGACAAAAGAAAAGAAAGTCCTCTGTGCATATGATGGGTATTTCTACGCATCTAAGATATAAGACTTAAAATGCAATTTCATTACCTGAGAATGACTATTTTTAAGATTAATTCTATAATCCTAATTTGTGACTGAAAACTTTTAGAAAAAAGCCTAAAAAGTGCCTGCACCTTCAAAGTTTTTAAGTTTTGTTCACTTTAGCTATGCAGCAAAGGAAATTCAGCATCAAAATGAATGACATTTATGAGTAAATTCAAAACACCATCATACTGAAAAAAAAAAAAAAATCAAAGAAATGCACAAGAAAAAGCAAATCTTTCCAAAAATAGCATACTGTTATAAAACCACTGTTAAACCGTTTGCGTTGAAGTCCTGCACGTTTTAAAAAACCATTGAAAACTGACTCGCTTTACAAACTGTTGGTCATGTCCAAACAGGCACTGAGTACAGAAGCAGAAACAGGACAACCTGCTTCCTCCGTCTTGGCCAACAGTTCACCAGTTTGTAACGAGTCTGAAGGATGCACACTTGGATCACACTCTGAGGTGGAACTCACCATCTCTATGGCAATCTGCGACTCTTCCTTTGTTTCCACAAATTTGTGGCAAGGGATGGAAAAGTCTGGTGAAGAGAGCTTGGCGAGGCGTTGCAAGTGGTCCTGGTCGGAGTCGCACTCCATGTTGACACTTTTATACAGACCACACAGGTTCTGCTGCATCTCTTTCAGGTTTTTCTGCAACTTGTTGTGCTCCTGAAGCAGCCGCTCTTTCTCACTTTTCTGTGGAAAAAGCAACAGTAAAATCACTCACGTTGTCCACTCATCATAGCTGCACATCTTGTTTGTTCTTAAAATTGTTGGATTTTTCTACCACATTCTGTAGCATGGTTTAACTATACTTGTTGTGATTATTTTGTAATTCCTACAGCTCAGTAGATTTGTGAAAACTGACTATTATGTCAAAAAAGGGACTCCTTTAGGATGATTTGCATTGTGAAAATGTATTTATAATTTCAGCAACAATAATATTTTCCTTCAGGATTAATACTCATGCAGTTCCATATACTGTATTTTGCTCACTGTGATGACGTTACTCTATTTTTTATCTGATTTATTTAATATAAATTCATGAAAACAATCACATTACATGTAAAAGTTTAGCTCTCCACGGATCAATAAAAACAATTAAATTCTCCTATGTATGTTTTACCTTCACAGTGTAACAAAC